GGCACGCCCACATACGTCTTGCTGCCTCGCCTGCCCTCCGGATCCTCTGCTGTCATCCTCCACCCGCCTACGCACCCCCGCGCGTCTTTGCCTGTCTTCTACCCCCCCCGCGTCACCTATCCCGAGTCACCTATCCCTTCCCGCCTCCGCAAAACCCTCGTTCTGACCCACTCGCTCTTCCAATCTCGTCCGCCCCAATTTTCCTGTCGCACGCCCCGCCCGCGCCTATAAACGTCCCGCTATGACCCCGCCCCCGCCCCGCCGTTCACTCGCTCCACGCCCTGACAACCACCTCTGCGACCCCCTGCAGCCCTCTCCTTGGGACTCCTCTCTCTCCTCCTCCTGCCACGAGCCCGAGTCGCTCCACTTCTCCTTCAACTCTCGACCCGAAGACATGACAGTTGAAACCTCCTTCGTCGACGTCGTCGACGCCCTGGACGGCATGATGGCCCCCGTCCCCGCCCGACTCCCCACCTCGAAGACCAAGTGGAACGGCGTCAAGGCCTACTCCTCCACCGGCTTCCAGATCGTCACCTGGCTGCTCAATGCCGGCTTCGCCTCATCCCGCTCCGCCGCAGCTGAGCTCGCCCGCCAGCTCGTCCGTGCCGGAGGCCTTATCCCCACCTTCCGTGTCGAAAGCGCCAATCAGGCCTTCAACGGAAGCCAGCTCTCTAATTACGTCCATCGTGGCCTCTCCTGTCACATCGACCGCGGCCTCAATTCAACCCTCATCTATCCGGGCAAGCCGAGGCACACCATTGACGTCCTAACCGATCTCAACAAATCCTTTGCTCGCGTCTTCCACGTCGCTGTTTCCACGGATGGCCACTTTGTAGACTATGCCGCCATCCGCGGCTCCGCCGGCTGGAGAGAAACTCTCGTTCTCCTCGCCGAGCTTGCCATCAGCGACGACACTGAAGTCGCCTCCAGCGATCCCGATGTCCGCAAGGCCGCTTTTTACAATCTTTACAACGTCCTCATCTTCCACGCCAAGCTCGTCTTTGGTCATCCCATGGATCTCGTCAAGCGCGGCAAGTTTTTCAACGATGCTTCCTATGTCATTGCCGGCAAGAAAATCACTTCCGTGGAACTTGAGCATCAAGTCTTGCGCCTTCGTATCAACCCAAACGACCCGCGTGCCGGCTGGCTCCTCGCTGAGAAGGACCCTCGCATGCATTTCATTCTCAATTGCGGCGCTTGGTCATGCCCGCCGCTCATCGCTTTGGATGCCAACAGGACCGAGGAGATGCTGCAGGAGGCCACGGAACGATTCCTGGAAAAGTACTGTGTCATCGACTTGCAGAATAGAAAGGTCACCCTGAGCCGCTTGTTCAAGTGGTTCCGAAACGACTTCACCCCGGGCTCGGATTCCGACGCAGATCTCATCAAGTGGATTTCCCAGCGCGCTAGCAAAACCAAGATGAACGAGCTCACTGAGCTGCTCGTCAGCGATTACAAGGTCAAGTTTGCCGTGTACAACTGGGCGGACAACGGCGACGGAAGTGCCAAACCGGATATTCGTTTCATGACTATTTACGACTTGAGTTTTGCAAAGACCGCGTGACAACCCTTTCACACATCCATCCACCCTGTGTTGATGATGACCAGGAACTCGGTCTGCACATGTACATTTTCCGAATCTCGCCTACGTATAAGCCTGTACTATTTATTGATGAGCGGTTCCCTGTCAGAGCCCTCGTAAAGTCGCATATACGATTAGTGAGTTTGTCAACTTTTCGCTGACAGGGTTCGAGCCGGTGCTCTAGCTAGACCGAGGAAAACGTGGCTGCCCATTTCAACTGTCCGGAGATTGTTTTTTTTTGCGTTTTTCGTCAGTCTCGGCAGGTGTGTTCATGAGCGAGTGCAAGGTACAGAAGTACTGAATCTGCGGAAAATCTTGTGCCTTCTGTCATTAAAACCCATTACTGTATTGTTGTTATCAGGGAGCAATTTCCATGTCCTTTAAAGTACGTCCAGTGCTACAAGGCGAGCAGCTCTAATGGTACTTGCTACGTCCTGAGACTGGATCGTCCAGTAGTTGGTCGACAACGCAAAGAGCACGCAGCGCACTGTACTCGGTACAATATGTGCGTCACGATGAGGCAGGCGGTGCTCTTGGGAGGGGCAGTGCAAAACTGCGGTTTTCGCTCCTGCAAGTGGACCTGCAGTGTTTGAGACGTTCGGATTTCTATCTCTTAACTGTACGCTATATCTCTGCACTTCGCAGAACGGTAAATGATCGTGGCCCACATTGATTATGGCTTGCTTGGGGGCCGTGATGGATGCACCATCGCAATGGGAGTGACAAGTAGATCGCTTTCTCGAAATCGACAGCTTGTGGTGCCACGCACCACTGCAAAGGAAGGTTATCCGTCAGCCTCCTACCACACCGCTAGCTACGTCTAATCGGACAAACCCGCGGCAGCCTGGCGCCTGAAATACTTCTTGGACATCCCGCGGCTCCTGTCCGTGAGGCGTTCACACTTGAAAGCAACCCCCTCTTCCCGCAAGAAACTCGTGAGACCTTGTTTGGACACTCTCAGTTTGGAGGACGTCAAGCTGGCGAAAATTCTCTCAAACTCAACCGTGCACATGGACAGAATGTCATCGTAGAGCGCCACGTCCCTGCGAATGGCAGCGAGTATATCCGCGCGGGAAACCGTTTTTGGCTTTTTCAATCTAGACTTCGTCCGTGCGTCCCCTCCGTCACAGGGCTTGTCCCTTCCAAGGGTGGTCTGCGAGCCAGCAATGCGACGCGCCATGTTTTTTTGGGTGTTTCCACCACAGCTTTGGCGTGTGTCCTCATCCTCAAGCAAAGCTAGAGGGCTATCTTTAGCACAAGTGAGATCCATGACCTCTTCATCTGAGCTTGAGAACATTCCTCCGTTGGATTCCCCATTCTCTGCAAGCACATCGGACGCAGCGCGATTCAGGGACTGAGTAGCAGCACGGGGGTGGTCCGTGCTCTCTTCATCTGAACTTGACATGTTCCCTCCGTTGGATTCCCCATCGTCAGCAAGCACATCGGAAGCAGCGCGATTCAGGGACTGAGTAGCAACACGGGGGTGGTCCGTGATCTCTTCATCTGAACTTGAGAACATCCCTCCGTTGGATTCCCCATTCTCTGCAAGCACATCGGACGCAGCGCGATTCAGGGACTGAGTAGCAGTAGGGGGGTAGTCCATGACCTCTTCATCTGAACTTGAGAACATGCCGCCCTTGGATTCCCCATTCTCAGCAAGCACACCGGAAGCAGAGCGATTCGGAGACTGAGCAGCAACAGGGGAGTGATCCGAGAACCAGGATGGAGTGCTCCGCATGCACGGTGCAGGGGCGTTCAACTTAATAAAGCTTGTGCTATTCTCGTGCGAACCCTGAGCATCTAAGGTACAGTTGTGTGGAGCAGTAACCTTTTCGATTTTGTCTTCGTCAGACGAAATGCATTGTGTCAGATCAATGTAGTTTTTTCGGGGCTCTTCCACAGCTGATGCCTTGGCTGGCTTCTGACGGCATTGAGATTGCTTTAGAACATCACGGCTTGCCGCGAAGCGCCTTTGCATTTCCTGGTACTGAGCATGTATTTGGAAAACCTCCGTTCTGTGCCTTTTTTGTTCTCTTTCGACTTCTGCTCTGTGCTTCTGTTCCTCTTTTCTGAGCTGTTTTCGTCGCCATCTTTCTAGCTTCATGCCCAGTGAATACTGAGTCGTGCTTTTGACTTCATCATCAAAATTGCCCAGACTGGACACATCGGATGAATCGCTGTCATGCTCTGATGCAGAGAACACGCAGACATGTTTCGGATTCTCATCCTGGGCTGATGCTTGCCGCGAGGACATAACTTGCGCACCTGAACAAATTCCTTCCTTCCGTGCCCCATCCTCCTCAGAAGCACTGCCTTGAGACCCCTTACTGGACGGTTTTTGACGGCAGAAAGGTCCAAGGGCAGGCACGTTTAGTCCATCTCGAGCTTGATGCGCTTTGCGCTGCGGACTGCGGCCTGCGGAAATCAGGCCCTCCTCGGCAGCGTGTGGATCTTTGGCGTGCTGCCGCTCAATGGGTGACACTGTTGCGACTCTTTCCCCCCTGCCATCCCGCGAGCAATTCTCCGGTGTCAACGTATACAAATCGCCGTCGCCCACGCCATCATTTAAGAGCGGATCCTGCCGCCGCATAGTCTGCGCGAGTCTACTCTCTGGAAACTGCTGCGTCGCGACAATATCTTCCTCCTGCTCCTGCTCCTGCTCCTGCTCCTGCTCCTGCTCCTGCTCCACATCCGCATCCCGCTTTTCCCCCCGCAATTCGGTGACGCCCTTCTGAATCTGCGCGAGAATAGGCACGGAATGCATAGCCTCCGCAATGCGGCGTCTCGCGGCGTCGGGAATCCGAAGCTGCGCAAGGTCAGCATCGTCGAGCAACCTGAGGGCGACGAGGTCGATCTCCTCCTCAGCAAAGCGACGCGCATACCGCGCGAGCCCAAGAAGTTCCAAGAGGCGCGTCACGCGCGCGTCGCCCTTCTCCTCGGGGGCGGCTGCGGCGGGACGAGGTCGGGCGGTGGCGCCGCTGCGCGGCCTACGGGCCGTCCGCCGGGGCGGGGCGCCAAGCGGCAGCGTCGAGTCCGCGCAGCGGTTCGCATGCTCCAGGCGCGCGGTCGGCGTGAGGGCCGTGAGGTCGCGGCAGCAGACGGCGCACGTGGGACACGCGGCAGATGGGACGGGCGCGTCTTGCGCGTCGAGGCAGGCGTTCACGTGTGCAAGGCCCTCACGCGGCGTGAAGAGACCCAGCGGCGTGTCGCAGGCGGGGCAGGAGGTCAGAGTCATGGCGCCATGGTTGGCACATGGAGGACGGATTGGGAGGAGAGGAAAGCTCGGATGTGCGGAACGTTCGCGGAGGACGCAGTATTTGGCGCGCGCCTTGGCGTTTCGGTGCGAGGAGCAGAGACGAGTTGTCAGGGCGAGGTACCCGCCATATCTTGTCGGCTCTCTGATCCAATTGTGAGTATCTTACATTCAAAGTTTCTATTGGACAAGATATATTCGGACACAGCTGCACGTGCTTCCAGCGGAACTTGTTTTGGCCACAGATTCCGCAAATTAGAAATACGTGTATCACGTCTTCCACGTGTTATTGAAGTTTTGATTGGTGTAATTCTGAAAATCTTCTCGGTAAAAATAGGGTCAGTCACATTCTACAAGTGGTAGATCATGTATGATAGTGGATGGCTGTGAATGACTGGTACCACATCTACAGACCAATCAAATCGTTTCGTCCCACATCTACATCTCGACCAATTAAAACGATTGGTCCCACATGCTTACATCATTAATGTAATGTTTGGCCCAGTAAACTCCCCAACTCGAGCACACACTCGCGAACAGACCTATGAACCATTCGCCGCCTTCCCGGCCGCCGCCGTTGTCTCCAAAAGCAACTGTTCTGACCATCTCCACCTGCCTCTTTCGCCATCCGACCATCCCCACCTGCCTCTTTCGCCATCCGACCATCCCCACCTGCTGCTTTCGCCACAGCCCGGATCCCTGCGGCACCAGACACACTCTTCGCCGCATCCTTCTCGATGGCCGCATAATCCCCGTCTCCCTTCTTGCCGTTGCCCCCAGTCTTGACCGTGCGCCCCTCGTAACGCATGCACCCGCCCGTCCGCCCACGTCCACTGCTCTTCCTCGTCCGCGATGTCGGGGAACCAGCAGGAGCCGCGCGACGTCGTCCTCAGCGCCCATATCCAGTCGTTCCGCGTCGTCGTCTGCGCAACCTACCACATCGCAGCCATCTCGCCTAGCCCGCTCGGCCTCGGCCTGTACGCCGTCCCGACTGACCACCTGCAGCAGCCGAAGAGACCGCTACCGTTGCTCTACGTCTCCTCCGCCGTCGCCCGAGGCGGCGCCCCGGCTGCGGGCCTGCAACATTTTTTTCCGTCGCGCACAGGTGAAGCTAATGTTGACAAAACGGTCGACGATATAGATCGATTTCTTCCACCGTAAGGATCGCGAGGCCTGGTGTCAACGGCAAGAGGTGATGTAGCATGGACTGCGACATCCCTTGGTACTTGTCCTCCACTCTATGAGGGAACATTGCGCTCCTCGACCCTTTCATCCATGTCCCACTTGTTTCCATTTACGTTTCCAGGGTGACTGTACAGTCTTGCTCCACTGACAGCAGTCCATAGAACCCAGTGCTTTCCCAGCAGGAACGCTACACACACGATGAGGATACAGAGCAACATGTCGGGCTTCAGAACGGAGGAATTAAGGTCCTGCCATTGCTCTACGTCTCCTCCGCCGTCGCCCGCGATGGCGCCCCGGCTGCGGGCCTGCAACATTTTTGCCGTCGCGCACAGGTTGCGAGAGATGTTGCTTTGGTAAATGTTGAGATTCATGGGAGGATTATTTTGCTCATCATCAACCTGCCTTCGTCAACACAAACACCCACCGAAACGAAACGAAACCATCCTCCAAACCCACTACAGAGTATACCAGCCCCTCTCACACATCCGCATACTGTATCTAAAAACAACCCAGAAACCACCTTCAACCCACATCCGCCGCACACTCTCGACGCGCTGGAGGGACACAGGAACCGGGTTTGCTCTGTCGCGTGGTCTCAGGACGGCAGTCGTATCGCCTCTGGAGGGCTTGACGGGACGGTTCGAATCTGGAACGCAGAGACGGGCGATGCCGTTGGCGACGTGCTGGAAGGACACAGGGGTTCGGTTCGGTGTGTTGCGTGGTCTCGGGACGGCAGTCGTCTCGCGTCTGGAGGAGCTGACGACACTGTCCGAATCTGGAACGCGGAGACAGGCGATGCCGTTGGCGACGCGCCGGAGGGACATGAGGGCTGGGTTAGCTGTGTTGCATGGTCTCGGGACGGCAGTCGTGTCGCTTCTGGAGGAGCTGACGACACGGTCCGAATCTGGAACGCGGAGACAGGCGATGCCGTTGGCGACGCGCTGGAGGGCTGGGTTCAGTTAACTGTGTTGCGTGGTCTCGGGACGGCAATCGTGTCGCTTCTGGAGGAGATGATGGGACGGTTCAAATCTGGAACGCGGAGACGGGCGATGCCGTCCCGTTCCTAAACTACACTAGCAAAACATCGTCCACACTCACTCACGCGCTCGCTCATCATCAGCCAAGCGGAGGAACACGTGCAAAAGCACCCACCGCCGCTGTAGGGCATTTTCGACGCTGCTACAAGACAATACAGTACTGTACAATACACAGATGACCCGCCGTGCCCTTTTCTTTCCCGCGAATGTGCCGTGCGTCTTCTCTCCTCGACCTCGCCTTCGCCATCGCCGAGCTCTCTTTTCACGCGGCGCATGCTGTAGATACAGTAGCACCTGAAGCTGTCAGGTCATGTTCATGCAACCTCTGCTAGTACAGTATCATCGTATCGATAAGCGAGCAATACATGCTGCACTGCACTGTACTGTGCTTAACACTAACAATAACTCAGTCAAACGAAAGCGCCCAGTGGCATCTATCAACAGTATTTTCCCCCTTGCTTCAACGTGACGCCTGCACCACCCTTCGCAGTAATGCCTGCATCACCCTTCGCAGTAATGCCTGCATCACCCTTCGCAGTGATGTCTGCACCAAATTTCGCACACACACGCCCCTCATCCTCATCATGGTCGCCTGCGCGCCCCACCGAGAATCGCTTCCTCTTCCTCTCTCTCTGATATCAACATCCCATCCTTCCAACGAAGCTCCGCCATGACTCAAGTCGCCCTGCAAATCCACCGCATGATCTGCATGCGCTGCGTGGCCTCCGTCAAACGTGCATTGCAAACCGTCCCCACAGTTGACCACGTCCATCTCGATCTGCATCCGGCATCGCCCGTCTCCGCTTCGCAGGTTCCGACCTCGATGTCCTTCTCCATGCCCTAGAAAACATGTTGGCGGCATGCACGCCGCCAAGGAAGCCACCGTCCTGTCCGCCCCGCCTGACGACGTGGATACTGTTTACCTTTACAAAAAGTGATGAGCCCTTGTCTCACGACGTTGTAAGTCCACTGTACGTACTACAGTACTCTCGAAGAAAGCCGTATTATGAAGGGAAAATGAATGGCGTAGAGTGGTTGACACGGGTAGGAAGGTCTTGCTGAGGTTTGTCAGCAGGTTTGGGTTTCTTTGTCGATATGCTCCCCCTACGGCGTTCTTCTCCTGTGCGATGGTTGCTCCAGTGCCCCTCGTTTTCTTTTTTTGGATCCGCGTCCCGACGGGTTACCATTGTTGGGGTTCCCAACAAAACCATCAGCCTGTATTTCGTACGAGTCTGCAGCGAGGGTTATACGACCCGACAATGCTGCTAGAGGTGCGCGGCCATCGCTCAGGTTCCGCAAGCCATGTTCGAGATAATCCATCATCTTTTGTAGCACGTCCGTCCAGAGTTGAAAAGCTAGTTTGTGCATCTGATCGAATAAACTTTTCCCGTTCGCCCAGGAAATGTGCTGCTCCTCCTGTCTCCTATCTTCTCTCCACATCTGGTCAAGCGATAATTGAATTTCATCCTGGGCGTCTGCATTTTCACGCATAGACTGACTTGCACCAACTGGAGTTGATGCGCTTCTATTCCTTCTCATCGCATCCTGCAAGACTCCCTCCAAGACAGCCCCCACATCATTATTCAAACCACGGGCTCTCCTCAAAGCCTCTCTCATTCTTTCCCGCTGAACAGCTATCTGTACGTCACTCCAATCTTCTTCGCTACGGCTCCAGTAGGGGTGGAACATATACTCCCACTCGATTCTACGCCCCACCACTGAAGTCAAACGTCGCTCCACATTCGCTTTCTCTGCAAACACGATAGCTACTCGCAGTAGATGGGGACATGGTATTCCTGTCGATCTCGACCATCTGCAGCTGCAGCAATACCTCTGGGAGCCCCCCAAATTTGCCACTGTAACGACCTAGCTCGCAATTTCCTCGTCGGGGCTTTGATTGAATCCCTCCTCCGGCCTCCGTCTTGATTCCTCCTCGCCCCCCAATTCCTCTTCGTCTTCACCTTCCCTTCCACCGCTACGTTCCAATATTCCTATCGAACTCTCCCGTTCTCGTAATGATGTGAGATTGGGGTTCTGTCGGACTGCATTTGAGGGAATATGCATTGTAGGATGTGCGTATGTTGGGGTTAAATCGTCTCTTCTTGGCGATATGTG